AGCATCTATTTGACTTCTATGCCGAGTCATGTGTCACAGGTCTGTTTGCATGTGTGCTTTAAAGTTTATTTTTTAAGCATTAAAAAGTATGTGATTTGTCATCCTGCAGATTTAAAGATTGTTCTGAAGCCATTTTTTTATACCTGAAAAACTTTCTTTGTTTTCATTTTCTTTTTTTTAAAAGATTTTTATTAAAAATATAGCTAACATACAATATTACATTAGTTTCAGGGGTACACCATAGTTATTCAACATCTATATACTTAAAGAAGTAAGTGGTCACCATACATAATAAATCCAGCAACCATCTCACACTATCACAATATTATTGTCTATATTCCCTATGCTGTACATTATATCCCATGACTTATTTGTTCTATACCTGGACATGTTGACCTCTTATTCCCTTTCTCCTTCCCCCTTTTATAAAATTTTCAGCTACAGTTGACATTCAGGTATTATATTAATTTCAGGTGTACAGCATAGTAGTTAGACATTTATCTATATTTTAAAAAATTATCCCGCTGACCAGTCGAATACCTACTGGGCACTATAAATAGTTATTATCATATCATTGACTATATTCTCTATGCTTTACATTCCCATGATTATTTTATAACTAACTACCAACTTGTACTTCTTAATCCCTTCCCCTTTTCCACCCTGTTCCCCAATCCCCCTCCCATTCATCACCTCGATAAATCTAGTACTCATCTGACACCATACATAGATATTGCAATATTATGGACTACATTCCTTATGCTATACCCTACATCCACATGACTGCTTTGTAACAACCAATTTGGACCTCTTAATCTCTCCCCTTTTTACCCATTCCCCTAAACCCCCTTCCATCTGGCAGCCATCAAAATGTTCTCCATATGCATGAGTTTCTGTTTTTGTTCTTTAGATTTCACATATAAGCAAAACCACATTGCATTTGTTTTTGTCTGTCTGACATACTTCACTCATATAATGTCCTCCAGGTTCATCTATGCTGCAGCAGAGGGCAAGAACTCATTCCCTTCCATGGCTGAGCAATATTCCATTGTGTGTATGTACCACCCCCTCTTTATCCATTCTTCCATCAACAGACACCCAGGCTGCCTCCACATCTTGGCCATTGTAAACAATGCTGCAATAAACATATGGGTCCACATATTCCCTCAAAGTAGTGTTTTGGGTTTCTTCATATAAATACCCAGAAGTGGGATTACTGGGTCCTTCTTTGTCTTTTGTTATAACCTTTGTTTTAAAGTCTGTTTTGTCTGGTATAATTATTGCTTTCCAGCTTTTGTTTCTTTGTTTGTTTCCATTTTCATTAAATATCTTTTTTCCATCCATTTACTTTCTATCTGTGTGTATCTTTCAATCTGAAGTAAGTCTCTTGTAAGCAGCATATGTAAGAGTTCTCTTTTCCTGTCCATTCAGCCCTCCTATGTCTTTTGATTGAAGTGTTTAATCCATTTACATTGAAAGTGATTATTGATAGATATGTAGCTATTGCCATTTTATTATTCATATTTTTTATCTTTTTTTTTCCATCTTAAAGAATTCCCTTTAACATTCCTTGTAATATTGTTTTGGTGGTGATGAACTCCTTTTGCTTTTTCTTGTCTTGGAAGTTCTTTAACTGCCCTTAGATTTTAAATGATAGCCTTGCTAGATAGAATTACCTTGGTTGTAGGCCCTTGCTTTTCATCACATTGAATATTTTGTGCCAATGTCTTCTGGCCTGCAAAGTTTCTGTTGAGAAACCAGCTGACAATCTTATGGGGCTCCCTTATAAGTTACTAGTTGCCCTTTTTTGCTGCTTTTAGAATTCTCTCATTGTGTTTAACCTTTGCCATTTTAATTATAATGTATCTTGGTGTGGGCCAGTTTGAGTTCACCTTGTTATGGACTCTCTACCCTTCTTGGGCTTGTATGTCTATTTCTTTCACCAGGTTAAGAAAGTTTTCAGTCATTTCTTCAGATGCCTTGCTTTCTCTCTTCTCCCCTTGATACCCATATCATGTGTGTGTTGGTACACTTGATGTTGTCCCAGACAACTCTTAAACTATCCTCATTTTTTTAATTCTTTTTTCTTTTTGTTGTTGTGCTTGGGTGTTTTCTGCTACTTTGTCTTCCAAATCGCTGATTCAGTCATATTCCTCACTTTTAACTGGTTGTTTTTATTGTTTCTATTTTTTCCATGGTTTCAATTTTTATGCTTGCTGTCTCTTTGCTGAAGTTCTCATTCAGCTCCTTAAGCATCCTTACAACCATTGTTTTCAACTGTGTACTGGTAGGTTGCCTGCTTTCTGGAATTTTCTCCTGTTCTTTCATTTGGGACGTATTTCTTTGTTTCCTCATTTTGGCTGCCTCTCTGTGCGTATTGCTATGTATTTGGTAGATCTGCTACTCTCCCAGTCTTAGCCTGGTAGTCTTACGTAATAGTTGCCCTCTGGGAGCCAGTGGCACAGTCTCCCTGGTCATGTGTACCAGGTGCTCCAGGAGTGTTCCTTGTGTGGGTTGTGTGTGGCCTCCTGTTATAGTTGAGACTTGATTGCTATTGGCACATCTCTGAGTGGGATTGACCCTCAGGCTGACAGGCAGTGGGGTTTGACCATGTCTATAGCTTATGGGCTGCTGTGGGTGGGGTGGGCGGCTTACCCCACTGAGTGGACTTTGCTCCAGTTGCTCTCGTGCCTATTGAGACTGTCCTTTTTGTGTGCTGCTTGTGGGACTAATTGGGCTGTGCCCTGCTGTGGCCTGAAGCTAGCCTCCAACTATGTGTGTTCCAGGGCCTTTTGGGAGGGGCTCTGGTGCAAGCCCAGGTCAGCTATTGCCTGTGTTTTCATTTTCTTTTAAGTCGCTTGCTGTGGTTTTGGTTTCTTAGCTCTCTTCTTTTTCTTGGCTTTGTAAGTTTATTTCACTTTCATTTTGAAATGTTATTTTAGCTGGGAATACTTGTTTAAGCTCTCATTTGTGATTCTTTAGCATTTTAAAAATTGCCGTTTCATTGTATTCTGTGTTGCAATATTTCTGACATAAGTTTGCAGTCATTGTTTATTTTTGTTCCTATATATGTAATTGGTCCTTTTCTGTGGTTTAAAAAAAAAAATTATATTTGGATTAGGATTAGGATTCCTTGATTTTCTTCGTTCTGTGAGTTCATGATTTTTATCAATTTGAAAATATGCTGTCCACTTTTTTTTCTAGTATTTGTTGTATCCCTCTGCCTATCCTTTCAGGGATCTAATTACACTGATATTTGTTAGGTCACTTGTTATATCCCACAGGTTTCTGAGGCTCTGTATCTGTTTTTTTGTTTGTTTTTTGTTTTTCCCTCTATGCTTTAATTTGCATAGTTTCTATTGCTAAGACTTCAAGTTCAGTTTTTTTTCCTACAGTTTTTAATATGCAGTTAAGTACCTCCAATGAATTTTTCACTTCATATATTGTCTTTTTAAGTTCTTTAAATTCAGTGTGGATTTTTTTAAACATTTCACTCTTTTTCTTTATGGTCATGGTTTTTTTAATTTCACTAAGCCAACTTTTAATATTGTTTTAAAGTCTTTGCCAATTTCATCATTTTGGTCAATTTATAATCAATAACTTTTTCCTAGTATCAAGTAACTCTCATGAGTCTTTAATGTGTAGGAATTTTTGATATGCTGCCAGATGAACATTGAAAATATATGATTTACATGTTTGGACTTAAAGAATTTTATTTACAGACTATTAACACTCATTTTGGCAGGAACTTAAGTTCATTTATGGATCACTTTTATCATTTCCAGACTTGTTTATAACATGTTACTACAGAAGGTCTAGAGCAGGTTTAGTCTGGGATTTTTTAGTTCAACTATAAAGGCATGACCCCTCTGGAATTTCTACTTATTGTTTTGAGTGTTCACTGAGCCCTGTCTATTTGGCATGGTTAGAATTCAAACATCTACCAATGTTGTGTGAACTGTGTGAGGTATTGACATTACTTCCTGAACAGTGTTTTTTTTCCTGGGTTCCCAGTCATCATATAATAGTGGATGTTGATATTCATTAAAATACTTAAGAGGAACACTCTGTAGCTCTTTGGAGGTCTTTTTCTTCATATCTCCTTCAGGTCTGGATTTTTTCACCTTTCAGCTGCTGAAACATACCTGAAATGTAATCTCCATTTTGTCAACTCATTGAGACTATCACATTTCACTTGTTATCCCTTCCTTCACTGTATAACAGAAATTTTGTCCTGACATAAAACTGTGTATGGTGTAGGCATAGTATGGTTTACCTTATTTTTTTTCCTTCTCTTAGTAAAAGCGATTCTGTACTTCCCATTTTCCAATATCTGAAAAAAGCTGTTATAAATTGTTTTGCCTAGTTTTTAAATTATTTATGGCAGAAAGACAATATTAATAGCAGTTACTGGGGGCCAGCCGAGTAGCGTGATGATTAAGAACTGGCTTGGGACGCCAGAGGGCCCCGGTTCGGATCCCACATATAAGGGCCAGTGACACTGCCCTCCACAGCTAAGATGCTGAAAAACAGCTCAACCTGGAGCTGGGCTGCCGTGAGTCGCTGGCGACGGCGTAGGCTGCAGCCCCTGTGGCAGTGGGTTGCCACGGGCTACCGTATGTAGCCAGCAGCCAGCATGAGCGGCCAGCAGCCTCAGTGAGCGGCCGTCCAGAAGCTGGCGACTGATCCGCCTCGCCCGGGAAGAGCGCAATGATGGTGCCAACTTGGGCCAGTGAAGCAACGTCCTCCACAACTAGACTGAAGAACAAAATGACAGCAACTTGTCTGTTCCCCTTCCCCCAATTCTCCAGCACTGTTCCCATCCCCCGAATTCCCCAATAAAAATCTTAAAAAAAAAAATAGCAGTTACTGGTCCATGACCAAAAGACAAAGTTTTCTTTTTGATAGATATTAGAAGGCATGAATAAAGCAAAAAATACAAAATATTGTGTAATTAATTTGTGCATAACATGTCACCACTCTGTGAGTACTTACTAATTTTAATTGCCTGGAAAGAGGTAAAAATTTCTGGTCATAGTTAGTCTTTCAAGTGTGGGCATCTGGGCTTTAACATTTGGTTCTTCAAATGATCTTTGAACCTGAAAATAAAAGAGATTTAAATATACATATATATATATATATATATATATTACATATATATATATATGTAATATATTACATATATAAATATACATATATATTACATATATATATTACATTATATATTATATATGTATATAAATATACATATATAGAGAGAGAGATTTAAATATACATATATATATATATATATATATGTATATTTGCACATGTTGTTACCATGTATAGTACCTTCATTCTTTTTTGTAGATCTACATTTCTATATGGTATCGTTTTTCTTCTACTGACTTCCATTAACATTTTTTATAGTGCAGGTCTACTGGTAAATGATTATTTCATCTTCTGTATGACTGAAATGTCTTTCACCTTTGTTTATGAAAAACATTTTAATTTTTTTCTGGACTTAGAAGTTTAGGATGACTTTTTTTTACTTTCACTACTTTTTTCTAGCATTAATTTTTTTCTAACAATCTGCTGCATCCTTTACTTTGTTTCTCTGTATGTAGCATGTCTCTTTTTCTTTACTCTTAGGTTTATCGTTTGTCAATCATTTAGTGAATTTAGACTAAGATGAGCCTTGCTGTATTTTTTCCACTTTTTTAATACTTCATGTTTGTTGCCCTTCTTACTTCTATAGATTTATGATTTTCATTACATCTGGGAAGAAATTGACTCTTTTTTTCAAATATTGTTTTGTTTCTTTCCCTTTAGGACACCACAAGAAGGAGAAGAGAGAAAGAAAGAGATTGAGAACCTCTTTGAAGAAATAATGATTGAAACTTGTTTAACCTGGTGAAGGAAGTAGACATACAAACTCAGGTCACAGAGTTTCAAACAAGATGAACCCAAAGAGGCCCACACCAAGCCACATTATAATTAAAACTGCAAAGTTTAAAGAAAGAGGGAATCGTAAGAGCAGCCAGAGAAAGGCAACTAGTTACTTACAAAGGAGTTCCTATGAGAGTGTCAACTGATTTTTCAACAGAAACTTTACAGGCAAAAAAGACTTGGCACAAAATATTCAAATTGAAGAAAAACAAGGACCTACAACCAAGACTAATCTACCCAGGAAGGCTATCGTTTGAAATTGAAGGAGAGATAAAGAGCTTCCCAGATGAGAAAAAGCTAAAGGAGTTCATCACCACTAAACCAGTATTATAAGAAATGTTAAAGGGATTTCTTTAAGAAAAAAAATGGGAGGAGGTGAGGGAATAAAGGACATAAAGATGAATAATAAAGTTCCAATAACTATGTATAAGAACATATTGATAATCACTTTAAACATAAACAGATTAAATGTTTTAATCCAAACATATAGAAGGGCTGAGTGGGTAAGAAAACAAAACATATATATGCTGTCTACAAGAGAGCCACTTCAGATTGAAAGAGACACACAGACTGAAAGTAAAGGGATAGGAAAGCTATTTCATGTGAGTGGAAACAAAAAGAAAAGCTGGGATAGCAATGCCTATATCAGACAAACTAGACTTTTAAACAAAGGCTATAATAAGAGACAAAGAGGGACATCACATAATGATAAAAGGATCAACCCAACAAGAGGATGTAACCCTTGTAAACATTTATGTACCCAACATAGGTACATAAAAATATATAAAGCAAATGACTGCATGAAGGAAGAAATCCACAGTAATGCAATCACAGGAGGGGATTTTAATACTCCAATGACACCAAGGGACATAACTTCCAGAAAGAAAAGCAACAAGAAAGCAATGGTCTTACATGACACTAGATGAAATCGACTTAACTGATATTTTTAGAGCATTTCACCCCAAATCAGCAGAATATACATTCTTTTCAAATGCACATGGAACATTTTCCAAGATAGACAACAAAACAAGTCTCAATAAATGTAAGAAGATTGAAATCATATCAAGCATTCCTCTGACCATAATGGTATGAAACTAGAGGTCAATTACAAGGAAAAAACAGAAAAACACACAAACACATGAGGGCTAAATAACATATTACTAAATAATGAATGAGTTAATAATGAGATCAAGGAAGAGATCAAAAGGTACCTTGAGATAAATGAAATGAAAATATGAGGACCTAAAATCTACGGGACAAAGCAAAAGCAGTCCTAAGGGGGATATTCTTAGCACTATAAGCCTACCTCATGAAAGGAGAAAAATCTCATATAAGCAATCTAAACTTACTCTTAAAGGAACTAGAAAAAGACAGCAAACAAAGCCCAAATGAGTAGAGGCAAGGAAATAATTAAGTTCACCGGGAATTAAAAAAACATAGTCTAAAATAAAAAATACAGAAGATTAATGAAATCAGAGCTGGGTCTTTAAAAAGATAAACATATAAGAAAAAAAAAAAAACCAAAAAACTTTAACCAGACTCATTAAGAAAAAAAAAAGAAAAAAAAAGAGAGAACCCAAATAAATAAAATCAGAACTAAATAAAAGTGACAACAGACACCACAGAAATACAAAGGATTATGAAAAAATATTACAAATAATTATATGCCAACAAACTGGACCATCTGGGAGAAATGGAAAATTCCTAGAAATGTAGTTTTCTAAGGCTGAATCAAGAAGAAACAGAAAATCTGAACTGCCCAATTACTATTAATGAAATCGAGTCAGTAAATCAGAAAACTCCCAACAAACAAAGGTCCTGGATCAGATGGCTTCACAGGTGAATTTTATCAAATATTCAAAGAAGATTTAATACCTATCCATCTCAAACTATTCCAAAAAATTCAAGAGAAAGGAAAGCTCCAAGCTCATTCTATGAGGCCACCATTACTGATTCCAAAACCAGACAGAGACATTATAACAAAAAAAAAAATTATAGGCTGAAATCCCTGATTAACATAGAAGCAAAAATTTTCAACAAAATATTAGCAAACTGAATTCAGCAATACATTAAAATTCTCATACACTATGATCAAGAGGGATTTATTCCTAGGATGCTAGTTTGTTTCAATAAAGTTGCAAATCAATTAATGTGATACACCGCCTAAACAAAATGAAAGAGAAAAATCATCTGATCACATCAATAGATGCAGAAAAAGCATTTGGCATAAGCTAGCACCCATTTATCATAAAAATCCTCAGCAAAATGGGAATAAAGGAAACATACCTCAACATAATAAAGGCCATATACAACAAACCCAGAGCTAACATTATACTCAATGTGGAAAAATTAAAAGGATTCTCCTTAAGATCAGGAACAAGACAAGGACGCCCACTTTTATTCAACATAGTATTGGATTCCCTAGACATGGCAATCAGACAAGAAAAATAAATAAAAGTCATCCAAATTGGAAAGAAAGAAGTAAAACAGTCATAATTTATAGATGATATAAAACTATATAGAGACAACTCAAAAGAGTCCACCAAAAAACTATTAGAACTGGTAAATAAATTCAGTAAACTAGCAGGACACATAATTAATACGCATAAATTGGTTGTATTTTTATACACCAACAATGAACTGTCAAGAAAGAGAAATTAAGAAAACAATCCCAGGGCCAGCAGAGTGGCACGTAGGTTAGCAGTCGGCTTGGGATGTCAGCTCTGAGCAGCGGGGCCCAGGTTCAGGCCCCACATGAGGGCCAGTGACGCTGTGCCTTCTACAACTAAGATAGTGAGCAAAGGCTCAACCTGGAACTGGGCTGCCGTGAGTCACCGGCGACAGTGTAGGCTGCAGCAGGGCTGGCAGGCAGCTGGCAAGAGCTGCTGTGAGCTGCCATGAGCCGCCGTGAGCAGCTGTCTAATGGACAGCAAACGATTGCCTCACCTGAGAAGAGTGCAATAATAATGCCAACATAGGCCAGTGAAGTGACGTCCTCCACAACTAGACTGAAGAACAAAAGGACAACTTGTCTGTTCCCCTTCCCTGATTCCCCAATGCTGTTCCCCTCTACCAATTCCCCAATCAAATCTGTTTTTTTTTTAAAAAAGACAACAGTCCCATCTACAATTGCATAAAAAAAAGAAAGAAAAAAAAGAAAAAAACCTAACAATAAATTTAACCAAGGAAATAAAAGACCTGTACTCAGAAAACTAGAAGACACTGGAGAAAGAAATTGAAGAAACAAATATATGGAGGCATATACCCTGTTCATGGATAGGAGTAATTAAAATTGTGAAAATCTCCATACTACCCAAAGTAATCTATAGATTCAATGCAATCTCTATCAAAATACCAATGGCCTTTTTCACAGAACTAGAACAAACAATCCTAAAATTTATATGGAATAAAAAAAACCCCAAATAGTCACAGCAATCTTAAGAAGAACAAAATTGGAAGTATCACACTGCTTGATATCAAACTATACTTCAAGGCCATATTAATCAAAACAGTTGGTACTGGCATAAAAACAGACATATAGATCAACGGAACAGAATAGAGAGCCCAGGAATAAACCCATGTCTATATGGTCTTTTATTCTATAACAAAGGAAACAAGAACATGTGAGGTAAAGACAGTCTATTCAATAAATGATGCTGGGAAAAATGGGAAGATACATGCAAAAAAATGAAACTGGACTACTTTCTTATGCAATATGCAAAAGTAAACTCAAAATAGATTAAAGACTTAAAGGTAAGACCTGAAACCATAAAACTTCTAGAAGAAAATATAGGAAGTAAACTCTCAGACATTACCCTTTTTATATTTTTATTGATACATTTCCTCAGACAAAGGGAACAAATACAAATAAATAAATAAACAAATGGGACTACATCAAACTGAAAAGTTTTTTTTTCTTCCCCCCACAGAAATGGAAATCATCAACAAAATGAAAAGACATCCCACTGAATGGGAGAAGATATTTGCCAATGATAAATATGATCAGGGGTTAATACCCAAACTTTATTTAAAAACTCATACAACTTAACATCAAAAATAAACAATTCAATTTCAAAAGGGTCAGAGGACTTGAGTAGACATTTCTCTAAAGAGGACATACAGATGGCCAACAGACATAAGAAAAGATGCTTAATGTCGCTGATCATCAGAGAAATACAAAAAAAACCCACAATGAGATACCACCTTACTCCTGTCAGAATGGCTATCATCATTAAATTAACAAACAGGTGTTGGCAAGGATGTCGAGAAAAGGGAACCCTCGTGCACTGCTGATGGGATTCCAAATTGATGCAGCCACTATGGAAAACAGTATGAAGGTTCCTCAAAAAATAAAATTGAACTACCTTATGATCCAGCTATCCCACTTCTGGGTATTTATCCATAGAAATCCAAAGCGCTAATTTGAAAAGATACCTACACCCATGTGTTCACTGCAGCACTATTTACAATAGTCAAGATGTGGAAGAAACCCAAGAGCCCATTGATAGACCATTGAATAAAGAAGAAGTGGTACATACATACAATGGAATATTACTCTGCCATAAAAATGAATGAAATCTTACAATTTGCAACAACATGGATGGACCTAGAGGGTATTATGCTAAGTGAAATAAGTCAGACTGAGAAAGACAAATACCAAATGATCTCACTTATATGTGGAAATTAAAGAATAAAATAAACAAACTAACAAAATAGAAACAGACTCATAGATACAGAGAACAAACTGATGGTTGCCAAAGGGGAAGGGTGTTGGAGAAGTAGGTGAAAAAGGTAAAGGGATTAAGTACAAATTGATAGTTACAAAATAGTTATGGAGATGTAAAGTGCAACATAAAAAATATAGTCAATAATGTTGCAATAACTGTGTATAGTGCCGTGTGGGTACTAGACTAATTGGGGGGATCACTGCATAAATTATGTAAATGTCTAACCACTATGTTGTACACCTGAAACTAATATTAAGTAATACTGAATGTTCACTGTAACTGAAAAAATAATTTTAAAAAAGAATAAATAGTGTAACAGATAATAAATATAGTACTTACCATCCTAAATATTTCTGTCAGGTGATGACACCAGGAATATTTCTTGATGTAACTTATGAGTTGTGTGATGAAGAGAGAACCACTTTTATTTCTCCGAGAAACATTATCTATGAATAAAGGAAATAATGTATTTTGAGTTACAGCCTTTATCTTTTTAAAAAACTCATAGCTTGAACATATCTGTAGATGGGCTTAAGCATGTAGGAAAAATAAAGGCTCTGATCTGTGCTTGGCTTTATATACAAAGTAACATAGTGAACTTAGATTGGACACTAAGAAAACATCACATAAGGTTTATAACACCTCACATGAGGGAATAGAGTTCTAGAAACATTGTTCTATGGTTCAAATGTAAAACTGATATGCTTAAATTGATACTATAGGTCATATTTTCTAGCAAATATTCTCTCACTTAATCTTGAAAGTTTTCTCAAGGTCAAACAGCTATAAATCACTGGAGTAGTTATTGAACCCACATCTGTCTGGCTCAGAAGATGCTTCTATTGATGCTCTCTTCAGATAACAGGCCAGCCACAAGGTAACGCAGTGGTGCTCTATCCTACTTAACACTGGTTGGTCCAATTCCTAGCTCAATCATGGACAGAGATTGCTTTGCTAAGACTGCTATGTTCTGGTTTTTCAGTAGCCTATTCCTGGGCACAAAAGTGTACATGTTTCTTACTTTGGAATGGTCCAAAAGTCTAAATAATATAGCTTCTCTATTGTTTTTGTTGGTTTCACTAAAATAGCCTAAACTTCAGTCAAACTGACATGGATTCATATCTGAATACTACCAGTGCTTAGTCAGGCAATTTATATGATTTTTGTTAAGGTTTAGTTTCCTTATCTGCATGAATGGTATTATATATATAATATAATATAAATGCATTATTATGCATATAAGATATAATATATATATATGTATATATACATATACATATATATTATATTATGCTTTTGCTTGAGCATTTTAGAAACTGTCTGCCTCTGTCCATGCCTGGGAATTCTCTTCTCTCTACTATATTCTTTTTCAAATTATATTACCTTAAATATGATGGGTTTTGGAAGTGATTCTCTAAAACTTTACTACCACTAGGTTGTAATCTCATTTTAACTAGGTGTTACTAGTTATTTGATGATTATTTAACAGCATTTTATACCTACATTTCTCATTTTCCAAACTAGAAAATGTACTTTCTGCAAAGGAGCTCACATCCTTTTTTTCTTTTTAAAATTTCTTCAGCAATAAAAAAAACCATGCTATTACCCATAATAGACTCACTAAGCAACACAACTGTGTGCCTACTGACTGATCACTTAGGATATGCATGACTGGCACTGGGTGGGTGTACAACCAGAAGGAGACTGGGCGACCATAAAGAAGCTATAAAAGAAGCCTGCAGGAACTTGGATGGGCTTTTCATCCCTTTATAAATATCTTCTGAAAGCTTTTAGCCAGTTTTCTTTGCTGGGATATTGGGCCAAATCATGTAGGCAGGCAGGCCTCACCCCCACAAATACTTTCCTACAAATGAAAGACACATACGTGGGGTTGAAGAGCAGAAAGCAACAAAATCCTTCTCGACATGGGTCTTGTGAACACCATCATCCATCAGGTCATCTGGGGACTGTGCAGAGCTGTCTGCTGAGACCATTGGAGAGTCACTGACCCACGCCTCTCCACTGTTTCCTGAGAGAACACCATAATGTTATGTTATTCACTGCTAAACCGATTTTAGCCATCCTTTGACAAACAAATAAATAGGATGCTCTTAATGAAGGTCTTCCAAGTTAATTGCACATACCTACACACACACACACACACACACACACACACACACACATACCAGTATAGACCTAACACAACATTATCTCTATTCATATCTAATGGGATGTCAATGAATGACAACCACCATCTGGAACTGGAACGTGCCTATTGATCAGAGGGAGTAATGGTGTTAAAAACTACTGTTGACTATTCCTAAATAAAGTGACCACTTTTGGGTTTAATGATAGTAAAATAGCACTGCAAAGTCAAGGAAGGGAACATCTGTGCTATTCAACAAAGACACAAGATTCTAAAACACTTTTTCCCTCCTCTTTCCATTGCTGGTTTTTCATTCTAAGCCATTCATCAAGTAGTATTGTTATATTAAAGTTTGAAGTAAAATATGTGTAATAAAGCAATGTCATAATTATTTTCTTTTGAATTCTCAAGGTATAATTTACATACAATAAAATTCACTCAAAGTATACACTTTAACTATTTTTGATAATTCTATAGTCTTGTAAATAATGCTTTAATCAAGATATATAATATAATAACTCTTCCACACTACACTCCTAACAATCCTTTGCCTCATTTTGTCCCTATGCATTTGCCTTTTTCTTATGCCATAGAAATAGAATTATATAATATGAGGTCTGGCTTCTTTCACTTACTTAGCATTGTATTAAATTTTGATCCTTCTTATCATGTCAAATACTTCTCATGTCAGAGATCATAAAATATGGAATAGCAAATGCTGCAATTAAAGCTATTTCATGGCACAATTTTCATAATTCTACATAAAGATGATTTAGACCTAACATCAATATCATCATCACTAAGAGTGGATGGCATTTATATTTATCTCTATACCAATTTCCTCTAAATATTCTTACCAAAGTAATATTGATATATTTGGTATAATTGCACTAAAGTGAGGCACAGGGTTATTTTCACAAGATATAAAACACCCAGTAAGACCACATTTGACCCACACCTCCCTGACCTCTGGACCCCATCAGAACTCACCACCTCTGCAGGCCTGGATGATGATGATCTTGGGTTTATCCTTAAGATGGCAGCAGTTTCGGTTGTTGAAAATCTGGAATATGGTGTCGTAAGATAGCACGTCTGATTTTTCATCACTATGCAGAGTCCCACAGATTCTATCCAGGAGGCCATGAGACATGAACACCAGGAATGTGCTGTCTGAAGACCTGTGCTCTTCGCAGGAGGCAAATGTCTTTAGCACTAACTCCATGTCCTGAAAGAGAGTAAACCTTTAAACATCAGATCATACCTGCCTTTTCTACCACTGGTGCTTTGAGGAATAGAAAGAATAAATGACAAATGCCTGGCACTTTACACTGACTGATATATAGAAGGTGCTTAGAAGTGCTCATTGTTATTGTTATTATGCTGCTGTTGCTGTTAATGTCATAGTTACTGGCAAATATTTTATAATATACATAATATAATATTTATTATTTTAACTATATGTAGATGTACAATTCAGTGGCATTAAATATACTTGTATTCATAGTGTTCTATAAATCACCACTGTCTATACCAAACCTTTTTCAATATCCCCAACAAAATCTCTCTACCCATTAAACAATAACTCCCCGTTATCCTCAACTCCCAACCCCTGGTAACCGATATTCTATTTTCCTACTCTATGAATTTGCATATTCTAGGGACATCAGAAAAATGGAATCATAACAGTTGTCCTTTTGTGTCTTACTTATTTCAATAAGCATAAGGTTTTTAATGCCAGTTCATGCTATAGCATATCAAAATTTCACTCCTTTTTATGGCTGAATAATATTTCATTTTACACTGTAGTTTGTTTATCCATTCATTTGTGGGTGGACACTTGGACCATTTCCACCTTTTAGCTATTTTGATTAATGCTGCTGTGAACAAATATCTATTCAAATCCTTATTTTCAATTATTTTGAATATATACCTAGGGGAATACATTGATGGGCTGTATAGTACCATAACATTTTGAAAAACTGCCAAACTGTCTTCTGCACTGGCTGCACCATTTTACATTCCTACCAGCAATGCACAAGGTTCTAATTTCACCACATCCTTGCTAACCTGTTATTTTCTGTGTGTGTGTTCCTAATAGCCTACCTAGTAGGTGCGCAGTGGTCTTTCGTTGTCCTTTTGACTTGAACTTCCCTAATAACTAATGATAGTAAGCATCTTTTCATGTCCTTATTGGTCATTTGTATACCTTCTTTGAGAAACGACTACTCAAGTCCTTTGCCAACTTTTGATTTGGTTTGTTTGTAATTTTCTTGTTGAATTTTCGAAGTTCTGTATTCCGACTATTAGGTCCTTATCAAATACAAAATATGCAAACATTTTGTCCCATTCTGTAGATTGTCTTTTCACTATTGATAGTATTCTTTAAGTCACAAAAGTTCTTAATTTTTATGAAGCCCAGTTTACCTATTTTTTTTTCCTTTAATTGACTCTGCTTCTGGTGACATTTCATGAAGTTGTTTCCAAATCTGATGTCATGAAGACTTTCTTCAATGCTTTCTACTAAGAGTTTTACAGCTTTACTCTTATATTTAGAATTAATTTTATATATGGTGTAAGTTAAGGGTCCAACTTTGTTTTTTGTATGTATATGTCTAGTTTTCCCAGCACCATTTGTTTAAAGACTGTCCTTTCCCCCTCTGATAGTCTTGTCACCCTTGTCAAAAATCAATACAACATATATATATATATATATATATATATATATATATATATATATATATATATATATATATGAGGGTTTATGTCTGGCTGCTCTCTTGTATTCCACTGATTTATATATATGTCCTTATACCAGTACCATATTATTTTAATTACTGTAGCTTTGTAGTACATTTCAAAGTTGAGAAGTATGAATGTTCCAACTTTATTATTTTTCTAGATTGCTTTGGCAATCCTGTAATCCCTTATGAATTTGAGGATTGGCTTTTCTAGTTCTGCAAAACAAAAAAGGCTGTTGAAATCTGATAAGGATTATGTTGCATCTATAGATCACTTTGGGTAGTATAGATGTTTTAACAATATTAAGATATAAAGATGGGTTCTATTTCCACTTATTTAGAACTTCCTTAATTTATTTCATCTATGTTTTGTAGTTTTCTGTGTACAAGTCTTTTACTTCATTTGTTAGATTTATTCCTAATTATATAATTATTTTAGGTGCCATTGTAAATGAAATTGCTTTTCTAATCTTCCTTCCGATGTTCATTGCTGGTGTGTAGAAACAGCACTAACTTTTTTTGTGTGTATTGATCTTGTACACTGCAAATTTGCTGAATTTGTTTCTTAGTTCTAATTGATTTCTTGTGAATTCTTTTGGATTATGAATATATAGAATATGTCATTTGTGAATGGAGATAATTTTACCTCTTCATTTGTAATTTGGATGTTTTAAATCTATTTTCCTTGTTTAATAGCTCTGGCTAGAACTTCTATTACAATGTTGAACAGCAGCAGTGAAAGCAGTTGCCCTTGAATTTTTCCTCATCTAAGTAGAAAAGATTTCAGCCTTTCACCATTAACTATGACATAAGAGGGTTTTTTCACAAATACCCTTTGTTGTGCTGAGAAAATTTTTTCTTTATTCTTAACTTTCTGAGAATTTTCACCATGTAAAGATGGTAAATTTTGTCATATGACATTTTCTGTATCAACTGAGATTATCATGTGTTTTTCCCCTTCATTCTATTAATCTAATGTATTAATATTACAGTGATTGATCTTTTTTTCTTTCTTAATGTTGAATGACCCTTACAGTCTTGGGAAAAATCCTACTTGATCAGGGTGAATATCCTTTTAATACGCTGTTGGATTCCATTCAATATTTTATGGAGGACTTTTACATCTATATTCACAATGTATATTACTCTATTTTTTTCTTGTGATGTCTTTACCTAGCTGTAGTATTAGTAACTTTTGGCTTTATAGATTATGTTAAGAATTGTTCCTTCCTCTTCAACTTTTTTGAATAATATGAGAAAAACTTGTGTTAATTCTTCTTTAAGTATTTGGTGGAATTCACCAATGAAAACATATGGCCCAGGGCTTTTCTTTGTTGTGAGGTTTTTGATTAGTAATCTAATCTCCTTACTTGAGTAGGTTATTTGTGAATTTCTAGATTTTCATAATTTAGTATTATTGGGCTGTGTGTCTCTAAGAATTTGCTTATTTCATCTAAATTAGCCAATCTGTTGGTGTTACAATTATTCATAGTACTGTCTTTTAATCCTTTTTATCTCTGTAAGGACAGAAGTAATGGCCTCACTTTCATTTATGGTTTCATTTATTTGAAATTTTTTTTGTCAGTTTAGCTAAAGTTTTGTCAATTTTGTTGATTTTTTTCAAAGAACCAAATTTTAGTTTGAATGATAGTCTCTCTTATTTTTCTATTCTAATTAGTTATCATACTTTTCAGCTCCAATGTTTTCTGGGGGAGGAGGGGTGTTTCTTTCTATTATTTCTATCTTTATTGATATTCTCATTTTGTTCAGATTTTTTTATTTTAAGATTTTATTGGGAAATTGGGGGATAGGAACAGTGTTGGGGAATTGGGGGAGGAGAAAAGTGTTGGGCAATTGGGGGAGGGAAACAGCCAAGTTGTTGTCCTTCAATCTTAGTTGTGGAGGGCGCAGCTAGCTCAGCTCCAAGTCCAGTCACCACTCAGCTCAAGGTGCTGTTTCCATTAGTTGAGGGTGGGCATAGCCACCATCCCCTGCGGGAGTTGAACTAGCAGCCTCACTGTTAAGAGCAAAAGCTCTATCCACTGAGTCATCAGGTTGGCAGCTCAGCTCAAGGTGCTGAGTTCAGCCTTAGTTGTGGGTGGGCGTAGCCCACCAACTGGAACAGGCAGTCTTGTTGTTAGAAGCATGTGCTCTCACTGGCTGAGCCATCCTGCCACCTATTGGCAGCTCAGCATCAGCTCAGCTCAGGCATAGCTCACTGGCCCATGTGGAAATTGAACCAGCGGCCCTGTTGCTCAGAGCTTGCACTCTTGAGGAAGCTCTTAACCAACTGAGCCACTCAGCTGGCCCCCTTGTTAAGATATTTTATTCCTGTTTTTGCACATGCCTTCCTGTAGCTTTCTGAATACCTTTAAGACAGTTCTTTAAAGTTTTTAATAATAAGTTTTCCATCTGATTTTCCCTAGGGATGGCTTCTTTCCTTTTGTTTTGTTCCATTGAAGGCCTGTGTTTTCCTGCTTTCCCATGTACCTTGTGATTTGTTGTTAAAAACTGGATATTTAAATTTTATATTGTTATAACTCTGGAAGTCAGTTTCTCCCTTTACCCCAGGGTTTGCAGTTGTTGTTGTTGTTGTTGTCATTGTTATTTTAGTGTATCTCTGTTCCAGAGGTTAGGCAGAGCCAAAGCTTGGTCTTATCAAGTATTTTCTAAACCTAGGCACAGACGGTAGCTTTCTACATTTCCCCACATCCACAGTTGTTTTTGACTGTCAACAACAAACAAACAACAACAACAAAGGTGTGCTTCCTTTAAATCTCCTGGAAGCCACTTTAATCAGTGGGGGTTGAAACAATGGCATCCAGCATCTGTGCCCACCCTTCTGCAATCTACAGCAGCAATACAGCCAGAATACAAAACCCTGATATTTGGAGGGCAAAGTTTTTCCTTATTGTCCATGCTAGATGCATTGGGTGACACCATAAATGTAGGTTGTTGTTCCCAAGCTGCTTGCCACAAGTCTGAGGGGTGAGGAATTGGTGGTCACCACTATATCCTCAGCTAAAATTGACTGAAATGAATGGCAGTTTATCAGCCAAGACATTCCCTGGAGCTTCAAGTGTTCAAATAAACTCCAGAGTTCAAAAATAGTTACTTCAGACTGTTTCTGTCAGTACAATTGTTTTCCAGGAGAGAGAGATGTATTCCTGGCACTCCTTATTCCTCTGTCTTTCCTGATGTCACTCTTCTGTGCTGGTTATTTGTTACTTGTAATCTTTAGATCTATTTTCTGCTCTTATCTTCCTTGTTTTTTGGCTGCCTGGATCATACCTGTTGAGCTCTCTTGTCAATAAGCTTCACATTGTGTTTGGCCAAAGGAGGCACTAGCAGAAGATTTATTTATTTATTTATTTATTTTTATTGTTAGTTTCAGGTGTACAGAACAATGCAATAGTTACCCTTTTCACCCTCACAAAGTAACAACCCCCTCCCCCCATCCACTGCCCTCCCACCCCCGATATCATGCTTATCTATTACAATTCAATTGAATCCGTTCCCGCACTCTACTCCATGTCTCCAGGTTATATATGTATATATAATTATAGTTGACATACAGTATTATTCAACATCAGTTTCAGGAATACAATGCGGTCATCAGGCCTCTACATCAACTATGAAGTGGACTCCCCAAAAGGACATGGGTCCATCTGGCCCCCTAAGAAATGCTTACAACATTATTGATTGTATTCCTCGAACTGTCTTTTTCTATCCCTGCGGCCAAATTACAATTACCCAATTGTATTGTCTAATCCCTTCCCCTTCTCCTTCATCCCCACCCCCTCCCTACTAGCAACCCTCAGTTCTTCCTCTGTGTCTCTGAGACTATCTCCATCCACTTCTCCCATCCATTCAGCTCCTTAGAATCCACGTATAAGTGAGATCATATGATATTTGTCTTTCTCTGACTGACTTATTTCACTTAGCATAATGTTCTCTAGTTCCATCCATATTGTTGCAAAGGGTACTATTTCCTTCTTCTTTATAGCTGAATAATACTCCATTGTGTAGATGTACCAAAGTTTCTTAATCCAGTCATCTACCGATGGGCATTTTAGTTGTTTCCAAGTCTTAGCTATTGTGAATAACGCCGCAATGAACATAGCGGTACATATATTTTTTTGGATTAATGTCTTGGTATTTTTTGGATAGATACCTAAGAGTGGGATTGCTGGGTCGTAAGGTAGTTCCATTTTCAGATTTTTGAGTCACTAGCAGAAGATTTGAAGAAACTGGAGAGCAGTAGAAGAGAGGGTTAGGATAGTCTACTGCTCCACATACCCACATGCCTGAGTGTTACCACAGTTCTATCAGTAGCTGTGCCCTTTGTGACTACAGGGCATGCATTCTGGGTGATCCACGTCTCTGGCTGTCACATCACCACATTTTGGAACAGTGTTTGTGTATATGTGTGTGTGTGTGTGTGTGTGTGTGTGTGTGTGTGTGTGTATAATTCCTATGTACAGTGAGTAATCTTTGGTTTAATAAAAAAAAATTAACCACAATAATAGTAACAGCATTGTAGCTGAAATATATATGCATATGTGCAAACACATGTGTATGTGTATATATACGAGGTGGGACAATTCAGTTCATGAACTCATCCTTGAAAAAGATATACATACCTCATTGCTAAATATCACTATGGTCACCTTTGATGTTCTCCCCTTGAAAAGCTATACACTAACACCAGCACCTAGTTCTCCTTTCAAAGCAATTTTGGAACTCTTTTTCTGGAATGGCCATCAGGACTTTGTCATATTACCTTTGATGTCCTGAATGTCATCAAAATGTCTTCCTTTCAATATTTCCTTTATCTTCGGGTAAAGAAATAAGTCATTGGGGGCCAGATCAGGTGAGTAGGGAGCATGTTCCAATATAGTGATTTGTTTACTGCCTAAAAACTCCCTCACAGACAGTGCTGTGTGAGCTGGTGCATTGTTGTGATGCAAGAACCAAGAATTGTTGGTGAAAAGTTCAGGTCGTCTAACTTTTTTCATGCAGCCTTTTCAGCACTTCCAAGTAGTAAACTTGGTTAACTGTTTGTCCAGTTGGTAAAATTTCATAATGAATAATCCCTGTGATATTAAAAAGTTGGTAACATTGTTGCAACAAGAGCATGAACTTAATTGGCAGAACTCGTGCGTGTGTGTGTGTGTATGTGTATGTGTGTACACCACTCAAAGGATGTATAGACAATTATAGATACCACCTTTAAGTTTCTTTCATTTTAAAGTTTAAGAAAGCAAGTTTCAGAGAAGTTAAATAAATGGCCCCAACTTACAAAACTAGTTAATTATTAGAGCTATGTCGGCATGTAGTTTATATGTACCTCACAGGGGAGAGGCTCTTACCCTGGCTGTGAGATTCTCTTTCACATGCACACAGTAGCCCAGGTCCTCAAGCAGCTGCTTCATTCCACTGATGTCATGGTTGGACCCATTACGTCTTGGGAGGTGGTTAAACTGTGTGTTACAGATGATGAGGGCCAGACGAGTGCGGTCCCCTTTCTCTCTTATTGGATAAATCTACAGAACAAAGACAAGTTAAGTGCATCACATTTTTTCTCACATATACAGCATAGTCAGAGTTACACTCTCAAGGACCTGACAGCTATTTGTTTGCTTTCAAAGTTTTTTTTTAAGATTTTTATTAAAAATATAGTTAACATACAATCTTATATTAGTTTCAAGGGTGCACCATAGTTATTCAACATTTATACTTAAAGAAGTGATCATCATGGTAAGTCTAGTAAACATCTGACACTGTACCACACTGTCATAATATTATTGACTGTATTCCCTATGCTGTACTTTACATCCCCGTGACTTATTTGTCTTATACCTGAAAATTTGGACCTCTTATTCCCCTTTACCTTTCCCCTCTTTTTCAATTTTTCAATTACAATTGATGTTTGATATTATTTTATATTAATTTCAGATGTATAGCATAGTGGTTAGATATTTATATAATTTAAGAAATAACCCCTCTATTAGTCTATTACCCATCTGGCACATACATAATTATTACCATATCATTGACTATATTCTCTATGCTTTACTTTACATCTCCATGACTATTTTGTAATTATCAATTTGTACTTCTTAATCCCTTCACCTTTTCACACCTCAACCCCCTCCCATTTATCACCCCCATAAATCTAGTACCCATCTGACACCATACATAGTCATTATCATATTATTGATTATATTCCTTATACTATAACCTATATCCCCATAAATACTTTGTAACAATACTTCTTAATCCCTTCCCTTTTTTTCACTCACACCTCCAAACCCCCTGCCTTGTGTCAACCATCAAAATGTTTTCTGTGTCTATGACTTTTTTCTGATTTGTAGGTTTATTTTGTTCCTTAGATTCCACACATAAGCAAAACTACATTGCATCTCTCTCAGTCTGTCTAACATACTCCACTCAGCACAATACCCTCCAGGTCCATTCATGCCACCACGGATGGCAATAACCCATTCCCTTCTATGGCCAAGCAATATTCCTTTGTATATATGTACCACCTTTGCTTTATTCATTCTTCATTCAAAGGACACCCAGGCTGCCTCCACATCTTGGCCACTGTAAACAATGCTGTAATGAACATAAGGATATACATGTTGCCCTAAAGTAGCATTTGGGGTTTTTTTTGATAAATACCCAGAAGTGGATTACTGGGTCCTTTTTTTTTTTTTCTCTCTTATTATAACTTTTGTTTTAAAGTCTATTTTGTTTGGTATAACTTGGTATAACTATAGCTACCGCAGGGTTTTTTTTTGTTTGTTTGTTTATTGTTTTTCATTTCCATTTTCATGAAATAACTTTTTCCATCCCTTTATCCCTTTACTTTCTGTCTGTATCTTTCAACCTGAAGTGAATCTCTTGTGAAAAGCATATATAAGAGTTTTATTTCCTTATCCATTCAGCCCTCCTATGTCTTCTGATTGGAGCATTTAATCCCTTTACATTGAAAGTAATTGTTGATAGATATGTAACTATTTCCATTTTATTAGTCATAATTTTGATTTTTTTTCCACCTTAAACAAATCCCTCTAACATTCCTTTTAATACTGGTTTGATGGTGAACTCCTTTAGCGTTTTCTTGTCTGGAAAGCTCTTTATCTGTTCTTCGTTTTTAAATGACAGCCTTGCTGGGTAGAGTAGTCTTGGTTGTAGGTCCTTGTTTTTAATCACATTGAATATTTTGTACCAATCTCTTCTGGCCTGCAAAGTTTCTGTTGAGAAATCAGCTGACAATTGTATGGGAGCTTCCGTGTAAGTTACTAATTGCCTTTCTCTTGCTGCTTTTAGGATTCTCTTTGTCTTTAACCTTTGTTGTTTTAATCATGATTTGTCTTGGCATGGACCTGTTTGTGCTCATCTTGTTTGGGACTCTCTGCACTTCCTAGGCTTGTATTAGATTGTTGGAAAAGTAATGATGCATTTTTACAATGAGAAACATAGAAAAATACGTCATGACTTTTCTGACAGCCAAATATACCTATTTCTTTTGCCAGATTAGGAAAATTTTCATTCATTATTTCTTCAAATAGATTATCAATACCTTGCTTGCTTTCTTCTCCACCTACTATCCTTAGGAGACAAATGTTGTTATGCTTGATGTTGTCCCAAAGTCTCTTAAATTATCTTTTTTTTTTTTTTGGATTCTTATATTTTTGGTTTTTCACTTGGGTGTTTTCTGCTACCTTGTCTTCCAAATTGTTGATTTGATTCTCTGCTTTATCTAGTTTGCTGTTGATTTCTTCTAGTGCATTCTTCATTTTAGTGATTGTATTCTTAATTTCTGACTGGTTCTTTTTTATTGTTTCTATGGTTTCATTTTTTTATGCTTGCTCTTTGGTGAAGTTCTCATTAAGTTCCCTGAGCATCCTTATAACAATTGTGTTGAACTGTGTATCTAGTAGTTTGCTTGCCTCTATTGTGCTTATATCTTTTTCTGGAGTTTTCTCCTGTTGATTCACTTGTAATGTATGTGTTTGCTTCCTCATTTTGGTTGCTTCTCTGTGTTTGTTTCTATGTATTACGAAGATCTGCTACATCTCTCAGTCTTAGCTTGGTGGTTTTATGTAGTAGGTGCTCTGTGGGGCCCTGGCACAGTCTCCCTGGTCACCTGCTTGAGTGCTCCATGAGCATTCCTCATTTGGGTTGTGTGTGCCCTCATGTTATAGTTGACCCTTGATTGCTATTGGCCCATCAGTGGATTGGATTGGCTCTCTGGTAGATTAGCTCTGGGGTTTGGCAACATCTACCGCTTACAGGCTGCTGTGTGGGAGGTTTACCCCACTGAGTGAGATTTGACCCAGCAGGCTCTGGTGCCTATTGAATCTGCCTTTTTTGTGTGCTGCTTGTGGGGCTAATTCAACAGTGATCTGCTGTGGTCTTAAGCCAACCTCCAAGTATGTTGGTTCTGGGTCCTCTCGGGAGGGGCTGTGATGCAGGCCCAGGTCACTCTCTGCTTGTGACCAGCCAGGGACTACCAGGTAGAAGCTACAAAGTGACCCACAGTTGTTTTCTGTCTGTGGGGGATCCCACACTGTGAAGTGAGGATGGCTGCCACCAGTATTGGGACAGGGATAGCTCCACAAAAAGCCAGAACATTCAGGGGCCTGCTGCCACTGCCAGCACCTGATACAGGCTCATGAGGTGTGCAAGCTGAGTGAGGCAGGGTCTCAGGCAGTTACTAAAGTGGGATGAGTTTGTTCACCAGGTTTATGTGTATATTCTGCTTTTGTGCCAGTGCTTAGCCTGGAGCTACTCAGCAAAAGTCTCAGAACACACTGATGTCATTTGCTGCCCAACCTGTAGGCATCAGTTTCTGATAGTTTTCCAAGAAAGAGTGCAGTGTAGATGGGGCTGGCTGCTTGCTGAGAAAGTATGTCAGGAGTTGGGGAATTTGGGTATGGTGGGATCCCAGGAAGTCAGTAGGGTGGAGCAGTAAATCTCACCAGACCAATTAAGATTCAGATTTAAAGATTAAGGAGCATAGTTACCAGGTAAACTGGGTATATGGTCATTCTGTGGGCCATTATGCTGGCTGGTGTTTTTTGTTTGTTTGTTTGGTTGGTTGGTTTTTTATCAGGGCAAGCTGTGTTTCATGGCAGGGAACTTTTGGCAGACCTCCCATTATTTGCAATGGATGTTGGATAAACAGGGCCTGTTGAAGGAACACCAAAAGGATTTAAAGTTTGTCTCAGAAGAATAATGCTGAAAATTACAAATTTTTTTACAAACATTATCCCAACATTAGGTGAACATCTTAAATTAAGACAACACATTATTGCCACTGCTACAGCTTATCTTGAGTTTCTATACTAGGTATTCTCTGATCCTGTATTAATTGTTCCTACATGTGTGTTTTTGGCATCCAAAGTAGAGGAATTTAGAGTTGTCTCAAATACAAAATTGATTTCTGCTGTTACTTCTGTATTAAAAAACTAAGTTTTCATATGCCTTTCCAAAGGAATTTCCTTATAGGATGAACCATATATTAGAATGTGAATTCTATCTTTTAGAACTAATGGATTGTTGCTTGATAGTATATCATCCTTATAGACTTTTGCTCCAGTGCAGGACATGGGCCAAGAATACATATTGCTTCCCCTTGTATGGATGATAGTGAATGATACCTACAGAATGGATTTTTGCCTATCGTATCCTCTTTTCATGATAGTTTTAGCTTGCCTACATGTAGCCTCTGCTGTACAGTAGAAAGATGCCATATAATTGATTGCTGAGCTTTCCGTGGATATGGAGAAGATTTTGGAAATAATCAGGGTTATTTTAGAACTATATGACCAGTAGAAAAATTTTTATGAGAGAAAAAAGATGGCAACATTTTTAGTAAGATGCCAAAGCCAAAACCTCCTCCAAATAGTGAAGGAGAGCAGGGTCCAAATGCAAGTCAGAATTCTAGCTATAGCCAATCTTAAAACATTCCAGAGAATTCTGTAATGGACCTGTTGGAAATAAACCATTGGACAAATTTCAGTAATGTCTTAAATGGAACACAAATGTAAAGGAATAGCTTCTTTCTGTCAAGCATATTGGGAAATAATTTTATTTTTGCAAAATAAGTTTTTCCTTACCTAATTCAATTCTAGTGCATAATTGATTAGAGTATCTTTATTATAAAAGTTTGGAAAGGTTTTAAGGGAACCTCCAGATAGACATTTCAAAATTAATAGCTTTTGATTAGTACAATTTATTTTAATTTGTATAATTGAAATTGCAGCTTTTTATAAAGCCATGAAATACAATATGAAGCATAATTTGTTTATAATTCTCTTTGGTCATTGAAAGACCCAGAAAGGACATAAGAAGTCAAACATATGAGGGTTTTTTTCTTCCCTCCTTAAGTTAAACTTTAAAACTGGAATCAAATCATACAGAATTTTGGAAGATTTTGGGTAATGATGTTGATAATCTCAGGGAAATTAATCAAGTACCTATTGATTTAAAAGTATAATCTATTCAAGAGCTTTAGTATCTTACCTTGGAAGATACTATTTCAGCCTAGCAAAAAAGTATCATATGTATAGCAGAGTTTGATTATTAAAAGTTATATTAATTCCATAACCATTTTGAAATGCTGGGCAATTTTTTTTTTAAAAATCCTACATGAAGTTATTTGCATTTGATTCACTGTTAATCAAGCACTTAAAAATTGAATAATTGGATAAGACACCATAACATGGATGAAATTTGGTAACATTTTAATGTTAACTTTTATTCTACTGTGAAGTTTTTTTATATGACAAATGCACCTAATTTATTTTTGTGTCTTGGTGTGGATTTACAATTTTTTACAGGTATCCTGAGCCAGGAGGACAATCAGGTTTCAGGCCAGTTTGACACTGGCTATTCTTAATTCTCACATGAGTATAAGACTAAAGACTAAGTGTTGTGTTAGTGGGACTGTGCTATCTGTGCAAATTAATAAATTAATAATTTCCTTCAGGAGAGCTATAAATAAAATGTGGAGTCATAGGATATTGGTGTACAATTTAAGGGTTAATTTTTTATGTAAATCAATTGTGAACAATGAATTATTAAATATTGATTTCCTACTATAAAGCTGCAAAAATAAATATACATTCTCCATTCAAAAAAAAAATCAGATTTGGCCATGGGCCTGGGGGAGACCTGAGCACAGGGAAGATGGCACCAACCTGCCAGCTGGACAGGAGAAAATCCCCACACAGGGAAAACAGAGGCTGTCCTTCAGCCCTTGCCCCACAGCCACACACCTCAGTCTGCCCCCTTTGGTGCCCCCCTAGTCACTATCCTTCCACTGGAATAGTGCCTGTGAGTAGTGAGTAGTGAGTCTGTGCATGGCCTCTTTAAGAGGATGCCTGGGTTTCTTGCAGCCTTCCATCCCACCGGATGGTTGGAATCCCCACTGGTTTTCACAGCCAGATGTGGGGGCTCCTCTTCCCAGCACCAGTACTCCAGACTGGAGAGCATAGTGTGGGTCTGGGGTCCCTCACTTTTCAAGGGCAGAACCTTCACAGCTGAGATATCTCTCTTGATTCTCAACCACAACATGGAGGTTTGGGGCCATACCATATCCCATGTCTGCCCCCCAACCAGTCTCAATGTAGCTTCTTCTTTATATCCTTAGTTATAAAACTTCTGTTCAGCTAGACTTCAGATGGTTTTGCAGGTTGATTGTTCTATAATTTAATTGTAATTTTAATGTGTTTATGTAAGGTAGCAGTCACAAGTGTTTATCTATTCCCCCATCTTGGATCTCCCAACAATTTGTCTTTTAAGTTTTGCCAGAATTATTTCTTTACTCTTTATTCCTAATGGATGGGAGATGGAGTTTCTAAAAATAGGAAAAGGGAATGGACAAAGGACTCTAACCCAGGGTATTAACCCAGGGAATGATTAAAAATGCGAAACCCCAAACTGGTGAATAGGAATAGATGTAAGCTTTCTATTGAATGGTTTTATGGAGTGCACTAAAATATTTTCTCTCTTTCCTTTTCTCCTCTCTTCAATTTAACCAAAACGTATTTAATACTTATTAGATCAGTGCAAATATAATAGCAGTTTTTGCATTGTTAAAATTTGCCTTTGATATTGGAATACATTCTTAAATAAATATGGTTATGTTATATATCATTTTAATGTGCATTTCTCACTTTATGTTTTTTTTGCTAATGACTTATTACTTGCTGTTTATTTTATATGTATTTTAGACTACAGAAATGATGTTAGACAAAAAGCAAATTTGAGCGATTTTCTTATTCGAGTTCAAAATGCGTCATAGGTGACAATGTGCAACATCAACAATACATTTGAACCAGGAACTGCTAACAAATGTACAGTGCAGTAGTGGTTCCAGAAGTTTTGCAAAGAAAATTAGAGCCTTGAAGATGAGGAGCGTAGTGACCGGCCATTGGAATTTGACAACGACCAACTGAGAGCAATTATTGAAGCTGATCCTCTTACAACTACACTGAGAAGTTGCCAAAGAACTCAAGTCAACCATTCTACAGTCATTTGGCATTTGAAGCAAATTGGAAAGGTGAAAAAGCTCGATAAGTGGCTGCCTCATGAGCTGACCACAAATCAAAAAAAAATGTTTTGAAGTGTCTCCTTCTCTTATCTATGAAACAACAACGAATCATTTCTCGATTAGATTGTGAAGTGTGATGAAAAGTGGATTTTACAAGACAACCAGCAATGACCAGCTCAGTAGTTGGGCCTAGAAGAAGCTCCAAAGCACTTCCCAAAGACAAACTTGCACCAAAAAAAGGTCATGGTCACTGTTTGGTGCTCTGCTGCCTGTCTGATCCACCATAGCTTTTTTTTTTATGGGGTTTTGCTGAATCCCAGCAAAATCATTCCATCTGAGAAGTATGCTCAGCAAATTCATGAGTGCATCAAAAACTGCAATACTGGAAGCAGGCGTTGATCAACAGAAAGGGCCCAATTCTTCTCCATGACAATGCCCGACCCCACGTCGCACAATTAATGCTTCAAAAGTTGAACAAGTTGGGCTACGAAGTTTTGCCTCAACCAATATGTTCACCTGACCTCTCCCCAACCGACTATCACTCCTTCAAGCATCTAACAACTTTTTGCAGGGAAAACACTCCCACAATGAGCAAGATGCAGAAAATGCTTTCCAAGAGTTCGTTGGATCCCAAAGCATGGATTTTTATGCTACAGGAATAAACAAACTTATTTCTCGTTGGCAAAAATGTGTTGATTGTAATGGTTCCTATTTTGATTAATAAAGATGTGCTTGAGTCTAGTTATAATGATTTAAATTTCACAGTCCAAAACAGCAATTACTTTTGCACCAACCTATTAGGATCTATCTCAGATTTTTGGAATATTAAAAACTGCAACTTACTTCAGTCTACATTGACCATAACTAAACCTTCATGCCCCTTACAGGGACATTATTTTGATAGCATCTATGTATAAATATACATGTTTTAGTATGCATATTCAATGCATTACTGCATTATTGTTTCATTGTTGCATACCTAATTTTCTTAACAAAATGAAATTATGTACTTATAATTATTTATTAATTCTTATAGTGCCTTAAGACACCACTAAAAAAGATTATCTAGTGAAACTTTCCATTTTACCCCCCCCCCATTCCATCCATTGGTTATCTCACCTCTCCAACCTCAGTTTTGCATAGTTCCAGGAATTTTTCACGAGGGCAAAGTTTGAGTTCTTCTATAGGTTCTTTGGGTGCTGACACTGTTCTTCTAACAAGAGTTTCTGCAAGAGTTTTAAAACACGTGGCATAATTAGAATGGTGATATCTGGTGTGCTGGCTTTCTTGTTGGGCCCCATGCCCATATCACCCTAGAAACTATTATAGAGAAGGGCACTCATTCTCTTAAAAGACAGAACAAAACTATAAGAAAACATCTTAGTTTGTGAAAGTTATAATTTTGTCCAACATTTTGTTAACAAAGATGAATTGTGTTCAGGCAAAAAAGACAACTCCTTTGTAGGGAGGTGATTATCTGATTATGAGATCTACTCAAGATGCAGAAATGCATGCATGTGACTCTTTGGGGAAGACTAGGACAGAGGTCTAATAAGGCTCTCCTAATTGATTTTCTCTCATGGTTCTGCTTCCTAATAAATCACACAACTATCAATTCATTAGCCCAAGCTGAAAATCTAGAAGTCTTCCTTGATTCCACTATTTACCTCACCTTCTACCCATTTTATAACCCAGATCCATTCTATCAGCATATCCTGTTAAGTTTACCACCAAAATATATCCTATATATCAGTTTTCACCTCCCCACTGATGCCCTCTTGTTCCCAGTACCAATATTCTCCCATATGCATCACTAAAATAGCCTGAAAACATCTCTCTCTACACCTACTCTTATCCTGCTATGTTCCATTGCCCTAATGGTGACCACAATGGCTGTTTAAAAGGTACATAAGATTTTCTCTTCCTTCAGTTCCTAAGTTCATTCATTGTATTTTCTGCCCCTAGTTTAATGTCTTTGAGAGCAAAAAAAAATCAGTGTAAATATTCTCGACAATAAGAAATCATATACATACTCATAAACACCCAGCAGACAATTTTACAACCCCTTCTCTGAGGAGACACTTGAGATGTCAGAGATTTCTCACAATTAACTTTGTCTTCTGGGAAATGATATTGGTACTGAATGAAACATTCCAGTGACTTCTCATCACAGTTAAAATAATATCCATGTGGCTTTAACATGCCATTTCAGGACCTATATGATTAAGTTCCTGCCTAAACTTTAACCTCATTCCATTCTTGCTCAGCAACATACAATTTTTCTATGTTTCTCAAACCTTTCATGCCTGCTGCTGCCTTGAGGTCTTTGCATTTATTGTCCTCCCTACTTGTGTTTTTCTTTCCCTAGACCTATGTAAGACTGGCATTTGTCATTCATATCATTAGCATGACTTTAACTGACCACCTAACCCAGGTAGTATTCTAGTCACTTCCTATCCTAACCTATCCCATTATCATCTTTTTGTTTTTCTTTATAGCTCTTATCAATATCTGCAAGCTTGTTATTTATTTTTCACTTCTAATTGCTACCCCCCTCCCCACTAGACAGTCTTTACTGAAGCAAATTCATTTGGATTGGCACAGTGAAAACTATAAGGAACATTGCTAGGATTTCTAAATGTAAAAAAAAAAAAAGTTAGGGAAAACAATGACACTTTGCTTATGCAAAAGAGATGACATGTTGGTGCTATCATTATTGAAAAACTTGAGTTATATATTTTAAGTGGAGGAGTAGAGCATATGGCCAGAAAAATGTCTTAATAATATGTCTAAATCAAGTAAGTGGAGAGGTGGGGAGAAGGGAAGTGTTTTTAATTTCTCTTCAAGAGCCTTCATGAACACAAGACCTACTGTCAGTGACCAAAGTAAAGGTTTTCGTCTTTTATTTACTTGGGAAGGTTAGTAAAAGTTTTCCAAATTATTTCTGTAACACTGAAATACTATTCTGTCATAGAAAGGTACTTCAAACAAAGAGTGAGATAAAGTCTAAACATGAATCAGGGAACTGGAGAATTTTGCAGGAACAAAGCAAAGGAAAACAAAGGAAGTAGGTAAACCTCATCTGTGGCAAATGAATGGGAGTTTAAGGGTGAAGAGATTTAAATTTAAGAGCTGATGAATAATCTTTTATCTGGCAAGTGAAAAAGAAAGCAAGTAGTAGGTGCCAAGATACAAGGGCAAGTTGAGACATCAACTTAAACAGAATCAAAGAATCTCACCTGAAGAAAATCCCAACTTGTACGCAAGCGTGGAATTTCTCTTGCAAATATAGTCAATAAATAATTTGCTGGCAAGGGGTCCTTTGCGAGTCACAAAGTCAATCAAGTCACGAGCCTTGGCTATAGTTGTAACATTTCCCTTTTTTATTATTTCGATCTCTTCTTGGTTCAGCACCTTTTCACTTAAGACATCATCCAGCAAGTTATTAAGTGTGTCTTCAGACACTGAGTTAACAAATATTATCCTTTTTTCATTTAGCTTCTTATCTGTTGAAAACACAGAAATGTTGACACTTAACACAGCTTAAGAAATATCACTCTGTCACCTTAATAACCAGGACACTCTTTCATCTATGTTCCCTCATTATTCGTTAAGTATCCTAAGGAATCTGTCCAAGATCTCTTCCATTCTTTCTAAGCCCATGGATGCCCTCTCGTAGAATTCTAACCTAGCTAAGTCAAAACAAGGTTGTACTTATCCAAATTGTTCTCCTTTATCTGCTTTTGTGAGTTATAGGCGGGGCCCATATATCCTATTGCTTTGATGAATATGTCTGTGGAAATCAGAATCAATAATAGTCACATTCATGTCATTTTCATTTTTCTTATTTAGGGACAATAGTCCATGGTGATCCTGTCATGCAGATGCTGAACTTCAGTCATCTTTGGACTTCTGAGCATTCAGGGAATATCCACCAAAGTACCTCAGAAAATAAAGTTACACACGTTTCCCTCTGAAACACTAGGAAAACCTGGATGACTACCTGGCTTACGGATCCCTGTAACCTGAAAAAATGTAGATCAGAGATGAAGGTTCCTTCCATTTTTTTCTAGTTAAACGTCACTCACACAAACTATACAGAATCCAGTAAAGAAATTTTGAGTCAATTTTATCCCCCAAATATATCTCCTAAAGATACAACCTGATAAAACAAAACAAAACCTTACCAGCCATGGCTTTTACGACTCCCTTCTTATGAGGCAGGACAAAAGCAAAGAAAGAAAAAAAAAATTCTCAGAACAATCAGGATTTTCCTGTTGGGCAAGGCATGTTCACATCTTGCAAAATAACGACTTCCTTGCACATGTGGATGGTAATGATAAGCCATCTTTTTTTTTTTCTTTTAAATGAGGCTGTTTTCCTTTCTCAGGATTTCTTCTTATGAAAGAATGAGGCAGCATTCTGTAGGTTGCCTTTTTATTTTTTTGTGATTCTTTCCTTTGCTGTTCAGAAGCTCTTTAGTTTGTTGTACTCACATGTAATTATTTTTGCCTTTGTTGCTTGTGCTTTGGGCATTGTTGGGGCCCAGAGTAGGCAACTCTAAGTTATCCTACAATGTCATATTGATGATTTTGAATTAAAATCACTTGAGAAGCAGCAGGAGTGGGAGGAGATCTCTAAATATAAGAAGTAACCCTGCATGTAATAGGTGCCTTCCCTGCTTCTGAGGACTGAGAGATAACCTTATCACAAAAGTTACAAAATTCAGAATCGAAAGGCCTGTATAAACAAACCTTGCAATGCCTTTATTAATTTACTACCTAAGCCCAATCCTTGCCGAGATTCCTTTCTCATGAGCACCAACTTTCTCTGTCCTGTCAATTTCTCACAAATTTATTAACTCTTTGTGTAAAAAGTATAAAGTGGTGTCTAGTTCTATCATTTTTTGAGCTTCTTTTTATTACCTGAGCATCATCATATTGTGATTTTCACTTATGCACATATTTTTTTCTCCTGTTAATCTAGTGTTGTGTCAATTTTATGAATCTAGTCATAAGAAATAAAGAACAGTAAAAGGGGGAAATTATCTCCCTCGCCCACAGTGTCATATCAAAAAAGTCATTGCCAAGATCAATGTCAAGGAGCTGTTTCCCTATGTTGTCTTCTAGGAGTTTTATCATTTCAGATCTTACATGTAAGTATATTACACTTTAAGTTAATTTTTGTAAGTAATATAAGAGGGGAGTCCAATTTCATTCTTTTGCCAGTGAATATCTAGTTTTCCCAACATCATTTATTGAAGAGACTATCTTATCTCATTGAATATTATTGACTCTCTTTTCAAATATTAGTTGATCAAACATGAGTGGGTTTATTTGGGGCCTCTTCATTCTGTTCCATTGATCTATATCTGTTTTTATGCCAGTGACATACAGTTTTGATTACTATAGCTTTGAAATATAGTTTAAATGAGAAAGTTGGATCCCTCCACCTTTGTCCTTTCACAAAATTACTTTGGCTACTTTGGATCTGTTGTGGTTCCATATGAACTTAAAGGGTTAATATCCAAAATATATAAGAAATTCATACAACACAATAGCAAAAACACAAATAATATGATTTACAAATTGTTAAAGGACCTGAATAGACAGTTTTCCCAAAGATGACATATAAAGGGCCAACAGGTACATGAAAATGTACTTAACAACACTAATCAGGGAAATGCAAATCAAAACCACAATGAGATGTTACCTCACATCTGTTACAGTGGCTATTAACAAAATTACAAGCGATAACAAGTGCTGGCCAACATGTGGAGAAAAGGGAGCCCTTGCACACTGTTAATGGAAATGCAAATTGGCACAGCTATTATGGAAACCGGTATGGAGGTCTCTCAAAAAATTAAAAATAGAACTATCACATAACCCAACAATCCCATTTCTAAGTATATATCTGAAGGAAATGAAATCACTGTCTTAAAAAGATGTCTACACCATTGTGTTCATTGCAGCATTATTTACAACAGCCAAGACATGAAATCAGCCTATGTGTTCATCGATGGTTAAATAGATAAAGAAAATGTGATATATATTCATATATTAGAATGTCACTCAGCCAAGAAAAAGAAGGAAATTCTACATTTGTAACAATATGGATGAACCTTGAGAGCATTATTCTAAGTAAAATAAATCAGACAGAGAAAGACAAATACTGTAGGATCTCACTTATATGTAAAATCTAAAAGAGCTGAGGTCATAGAAACACAGTAGGTTGTCGGTTGCTAGGGTTTAGGGGTTGGGGGGAATGAGATGTTGGTCAAAGGGTACAAACCTCCAGGTATAAGACGAATAAGTTCTGAGTGTTTAATGTACAGCACGGTGACTATAGTTAGCAGTATTAGATACTTGGAAGTTTCTAAGAGAGTAGATGTTAAATGTTCTACCAAAAAAGAAAGATAATCATGTGAGGTGATAGATATGTTAACTAACTTTATTGTGGTAATCATTTCACAACATATACATACATCAAATCATTATGTGTACATCCTAAACTTACAGAATGTTCTACATCAATTAGATCTCAATATAGCTGAGGGGGAAAGAATGAAGTAGCAGAATTAAGCATGGACCTGGGAGACTGCTAAACTGAAAATCAGATCACTCAAATTCATTGCAAGCTCCCACGTCCATGGGCACCTCTCAGCTTTGATCTGCTGGTTAACCAGCCACCACAGACAGAGAGCTGACTCCAAGCAGCATGCTCAGAGAGCCTTTGTGCTCCCAGCCCCACTAAAACTAAAGCACCTTACCTTCCAGAAGCTCCTTTAACTGTAGACGAAGACAGACTTAGGTGACTTTTCTAACAAATTTTAACAAATTGTATCATATGGGGACTCATGAAACCGTTTCTGTTATTTATCTCCTCAACTCATATGCATGTTCTATTTATTGTAGGAAATAAATTCTATGGTGTCCTTTAACTCCATTTGCAACTTTAATGAAAAGAAATATAAAAAGATTTTAAAATAATGTTTGTGCTTGTCTCCAGTCTTTATTTTGGCAGTAAAACATGAAAACAATTATGAAAGCAACAATAAGATATTTAGACAGTCCTGGTACCCAGCAGCCCATATGTCAGGGAATGCCTGTTACTCGTATAGTTTCCTCTATAGACACAAATTTGTTTGATGGCTTCAAAGGCCACTTGTAACACAAGATTAAGTTTAATAATTTTCTATCTGTTATTAGTCACTTGTTTCTCTTCAATCACAGTCCACGCTCTTTTGCCAAATTTCTGAATCAATATATTAAGGGTTGCAAGACTGTAGTAAAAAGTCATTGGCCAATGAATTATGATACTCCTGTATCCTAACCCTGGTTTCTCCACTTTCCAGTTCCATGGTCATGAAAAACTAAGTTAACCTTTCTGAGTCTCATTTTGTTCCCTACAAATAGGAGTATTTCATGTACCACCAATTCATGGAGGTATTCGTGAAGAGCTGATGAGATACTTTATAGCTAGCAAGGTTTAACAAATAAAAAGACATGACTCCCGGTTAAATATGTCTTGATTATTTCATGGGGCATATTATCTAAATATTTGGGACTTATTTATGCTTAAAAGATTATATGTTATTTAACTCAAATTTAAATGTCCAGTGTTTTACCTGGCAACACTATTAACATTTAGGGCTAGATAATACTTTGTTGTAGGGGGCTGTCCTGTGTATTGTACATTCAGCAGCATTGCTCAATTCTACCCACTGGGTGCCAGTAACACTCCCAGAGACAACCAAAAATGTCTCCAGACATTGCCAAATGATGCTCCCCACCCATCCTCACTTTACAATGAGCCTCTCTAGATTTCGAGTTAGATATAGTGGGTAAAGTCCCTGCTCTCTCACAAGCTGTGTCTTAGCCTCAGTTGCTTTAATTATACTGTGGGCATAATAATATTCTGATTATTGTGCAGATTAAATGACAAAGGTTATTTAATACATATTTATATAGTGCTATGTGCATGCACGTTTTAATTATTTATTAATTTAATATAAAT